CTCACGTGCCTGGGCGGCCCTCCAGGATGGGCTGCTTCTTTATAACAGAGGATGCCTGTAGGCTCCTGCTTAGCATTTCTTCTCAAGATGTCACACCGACAGCACGTCCTGTTGGAAACCTGCCCGAAAGCTATGAGAAAGCTTTTGACATGTATGTCGGGGTGAGCGATCCCCAGAAGCTCAACTCATTCTGGCCTGCCCAATTGCAGGGGTCGCCATATCTAGGAGGCAGACCTGAGCTCCTGCAACAGATCCAGCAGAAAGCTCGTCCGCTGCCTATGGCATTGCATGGCGACGGTGTGTCTGTCACCGGCTTAGGCAAGACCTGGCAGAAAGGAATCGATGCCTACTCCATCTCCTCAATTCTCACTTTCGGGGACACTGGCCACTAGCTGGCCATGGTTCCGGGAGAATTCAAGGAGCATGGACCCGTGCCTCAGCAACCTGTATGTGCAGAGGGCTGGTCTCTACTGCCGTGGTTCGGCTTGCATGTTCCCTGTTGTCACTGAGGCCATGGATCGCTTTTACCGGGCTTTGAAATGGAGCTTCGAGGCTTTGGCGACCGGACGATGGCCTCGCAGTGACTACATGGGCCGTCGCTATCCAAGAGGCTCTGGAGCCGATCGGGCTGGCAAGAGATTGGCCCAGAAGCATACCGCAGTGCTCTTCTGCTGCAAGGGAGATCTGGATCACTTCTGGAAGAGCATGCAGGCTCCCAGCTTTCACAGCAGCTCGCCGTGTGCTCACTGCAATGCAGATCGGGGCCAGAGTCCTTGGTGGGATCTCCGTCCTACAGCCCGGTGGAGGCAGCAGCTCAGATCCTACCCGCATCGGATGGACCCCGTCAGGCTCTGTCCGGATTGGATGCACAGCAAGCACCTGGGCACCGATGCTTACATCGTGGCTTCGGTGCTGGCCATAATTGTCTTCCGGAAGATGTGACTTGGCAAGGGTCTTCTTGTGCAGCTTGTGCAGAGGAGTGACTGAAGGGGCACGGCCGTGAGTGGCAAGTGACTGCACGCCTGATCGAGGCCCGGGGGCCGACAGAGATGCCAAGGCAGACATCTCTTGGGGCAACTGAAGACCCACGCCCCAAAACAAACCTTCAACAAACTGAAGTGGCCTGGGCCTCGGGTCGTTGTGTCGTGCGGTTTTTCTGGCTTGCCTAGTCTCGCCGAAGCAAAAGTGCACCAGGGCCTGGTTCACTTTTGGTGCTTTTGCACCCAAAGTGCACCAAAAGTGCACCAGTGCTCTGGCGGGGTTACTGGAGATTCGGAAAAATTTCGGAAATTTTTCCGATCCGGGAAAAAAGTTTCCCGACAATTTTCGGAAAATTTTTTTCCGAAATTTTCCAAATCATGGTGCACTTTTGGTGCTCTTTTGGTGCAAAAGCACCAAAAGTGCACCGCTTTTGGTGCAGTTTTGTTTGGTGCACTAATTATTAGTACACGGTGCTCTTTTGTTGTACTTTTGGTGCAGTTTGGGAAAAAGTGGTGCACTTCTGGTGCACTTTTGGTGCAAAAGCGCCAAAAGTGCACCAGCTGCCTGGAGCACTTTTGCAGCCCAAAAGACCATTCCTAAACTTTTCTGAAATGGTTTCAGAAAAACTCGGCCAACAACGATCCGAAGTACATCGAGGATCTCAGCCGTGGACTAAGCCATGCAGCCGCTTTCATCCGCCACCGTTCACGACTTCGTGCAATTCAACACCAGGTCGAGCACGGCAATGTCTCCCTTCAACCAAGGTCCACACCTCTGCAGACAGTTCGGTTGCTACCGCCGATGTTGAGCCTGGGCAAGTCGCACCCACTGTACCTCCTTAACCGGCTCGATCAACTCGAACGTCGAGGTGTTACCTGGACCCAGGAGGAAGTCGGAGGGTTTATTACCATGGAGCAATTTCTCGACTACCTGGATGGAGGCGAGAGCAGAAAACCCAGCAGATGCTCCATCCTCGGCACCGGGTACGGCCTCAAAATCGTCGGGTGCTCCACCCCCTCAGGGCTCCCACTCGACCGGGACAGAGGAAGTGAGGAGCACCTCCACAATGCAGGGATCTCCAGACTCGTCTGAACCAACCACTACTGCGACCAAGAATGACGAGACTTTGGAGACTCCAAGTGCGGCCTCAAAAAAGCGTCGGGTGCACCACCCCCCAATGCATCCTCAGGGATGCCCTCCTCTACCAGACCAAGCTCTTCTGCCCCACCTACTACCACCGCTGACGGGCAAGATGATTCTCCGGAAGGCCAAACCTCAGCACCTGCGGGAACTAGTGAGGTTGCAGAAGAGGGAGGACGGGGGGCAGCAAGCACCGACGCCCCTCTGCCTTCCACGAATGCCTCGAGGCATTCCGAAGTAGGCAGATATTTTCTGTAGAGGCGTACCGCCTGATGTGCTTAAAGCCATCAGGTGTCCCGCCAGGAATTGCTGCTCGCAGCGAAAAGAGCTCAGTACAGCGAGCCCTGTGTGGACACCACTGGTGCACCAGGGTGTTCCACCCCACTGGTGCACCAGGGTGTTCCACCCCATTTTCGTTTAGTGTGTTTGACAGCGCAAGCTTCGGCGCATGAGACACTTTCGACTGGGTCCAAAAGGATGACTTGTCCGCTTTCCTCTTTGACTCGTCATTCGTTTACCATGTCGACACTCACGCTGCTTTGTTGTCGTGTTTGTGTTTGTTTTGGTTGGGTGTTTTGTTGGCGGCAAGGGCTATACATGCCCGAAGGAGCGAT